GCTGCATGGGAAGTAAAAAGAAAAGTATATTTCTATCAATGAAAAACAGATGATTTTAGTATTTTTCTTTTTATCTTCAAAGGTATTTTGGCATGTTACACAAAATGTAGATAGTCTATTGACAAAAGCCGGTTGTGAACTGCTAAGTGAATTACATGGTTGTAGTGCAAGAGTTGTTTGTGTTGATTGTGGTTATAAAAGTTTAACACGTGAAGAATTACAAGAAATTATTTTAAAGCAAAATCCGAACTGGACAGTACAATCCAATACTATAAATCCAGATGCTGATGTTCATTTAACTGAAGATCAATTGGGTGATTTTCAGGTAGATGAAAATGTACATTTAACATCTGAGCTTTGGTCATAATTATTTCATAAATTTTAGCCACCTCGATGTCCTCGATGTTCGGGTCGAATCAAACCCGATGTAACATTTTTTGGTGACAATGTCGATCGTCGTTTGGTTGATTTTCTAAAAGAGCAATTAAGCAAAAGTGATTCTGTTCTTGTTGCTGGTTCATCATTAGAAGTTATGTCGTCATATCGTTTTATTCTTGCTGCACAACAATTAAAAATGCCGATTGCTATTATTAATATTGGTCGAACACGTGGCGATCATGCAGCTCAATTGAAAATCTCTACTCGTTGTGGTTTAATATTACCTCACATAGAAATAAATTCATAAATTAGAAATAAATGAACATAAGAAATCAATACAATTTCTATTTTTATTTTCTTATATAAAATACTATGATAGACGTGAAAATGGGAATACCATTTATAAGGCATCCATTAGAACAATTAAATTTGACCAATGGACTGCATTTTTTATGTTATTTACTAACATTATCATTATTATTTCGTTTACTACTGAAGGATGTGAATGGATCAGAAGACTGCATCCTCACCTACATTCTTTAGATTAAAATAACTTTGAAACTGAAAATCGGAGTTTATTTATTATTTAGACTAAAAATTATTCGAAAGTATCTATGTATAAGCGTGTGTTGCTTCTTTACGAAGATTATTAGTCACCCATTAGATGGTTTCCCGTGTCATCAAAATCGCGACAAATCGCGATATATCGTCAAAATTGATGTTTTTTGCCAATTTTCCGGACAAAATCAAGATTCATGAAGCAACGATACGGCTTTGATGAAATATGTAGATGACATCGTACTGCATATCAGAGGGCCTCATCAAGCTCATTTTCGTTATAGTTCCTGTTCTACAAAAATAGTTCATAGAAAAAGTGTGAATAACAGATCCAAATAATTTGAACATGGATATAAGTAGAGCTACTAATATAGCAGTACGACAAGATGTATGATGATATGATGTAATTTTTCATAATATTACCCATTGTGAACAGTTAAGTGAAGATCGGCGACATTTTTTCTCAATGAGTGAACCGGTCTTCTCTACTTTTATGACCGAAATTTTGACTTCAATGTTCATTTCAAACAAATATCGAACTGGTATAGCAACATAATTTAGTAAAGAATACTTCTTACAGTATCCTTTCGAGTATACATGAAATATTCAGTAACTTAGATACAGAAGAGCATCTTCAATATAATCAGCAAGAGAAATTAGTTCACATTTACGACATACATCTATGACATTTACATGTACTCACAATTTAAATTGATTAAAGCAAGTCATTAGATCATTATAGAAAGATAATCTTAAGTAGTGCTTAAGCTATTTCAGTTCGACTAATGAAGACTTCAATAGTAGATGATGTTACTCAATTCTGAGCAAAAAGTCTGGATAATTTAAAAAAGAAACTACCAAATTTTCGTGAGATCTTACGGAAGCTTATTTCACTACAAAGGATATTATTTGAACATTCTTTTAGTAGCGTGGATGATCTAGGATTTTTGCGAAATAGATAAATTATATGTTCTCATACTTGTGCATTGTTATATTGTTCAATACGATGAATCTTGAAAATCATCAATAAATAGATGTTATCGAAGAAACAGAAAGAAACTGCT